GGGAGACACAGCCAGCTGAGAAGCCCTTTTTCCAGCAGATTTCCAGGTGAGCATTCCGGGGAAGGCGAAGGGATGTTGTGTTTGGTACACGTGAACCCTGTCTCCCATCTGCTCTTAGCAACGGGGTTGGTAAGTGGATCCCTCAGCAGCCGCCTCCAAGGAGGATGCTCCGTGTGTTGTTGCTGCAGGGACTCTTCCCTCACCTTCCCATGGTCCCAGAGAGTCCAGGCTTGAGCAGCTTGAAGCTTTGGCTTTCTTGGATCATGAGGAATGGCCGCTGGTGTCCTGTGTTTGCCCTGACGTAGGGTAAATGGTTTGATGCATCCAAGACCTGCCCCAGCTGAAAGCGCAGCAGAATTGCATCCGCATTGCACTCGATGCTAAGTTTGGCTCCATCATCTTCCCTGTGCTTGCAATAGGTGCCTTTTCCATGTCTGCCAGGAGAGCTTCCAGCTGTTAATGCTCTCATGAGTTCCTTCATGGCATGTGCACAGCTCCTGCCCCTTCCCTTCTCATTCAGCTTTGGTTTCTTTCCTTTTTAAATGACCATCAGGGACTAAAAACCTTCTTCCTTCCGTAGCCAAAAGTGGTGTCACCAGGGCGGTGGCGGATGCTGATCTCCCCTTCCTCCTGCAGAGATGCCCACTGGTTATGAAGCCACGGGACTTAGCCCTAAGGATAATGGGAATGGGAAGGGGGGTATTGTGGTGGTGCATCAAGGAAGGAAGGGGCTCTTCCTCCTCCCGGGTCAGCTTTGGGCTGTAGAAATGCCATGAGGAAGATGCTGGGTTGAGGGTGAGGGCTCTTGCTGTGTCCTTCAGTTCATCGAGTTCTCTTGGTGCACCTTCCCCTGGTCTGCCTGGGCAGAAGATGGGTCATGGGTTCTGCACTGAGCATCAGGGATCAAGCTCTTGTGGTTTCCATGGGGACCTACATGGGTCTTCTGGCAGGGATTTATTTGGTCGGCCTCACTCCTGCTGCAGAGGCAAATGGAGCTTGATGGGGCCCCTGAGATGATAAAATCCCACCTGGCCCAAGAGTAGCACTGGTCATGGGCCTGGGGAGGGAGGCAGGAGATGGGCACAGCAGAACGTAGCTGAGCTCCAGCTCTTCTGCATGGGGATCCCTCCTTGGCTTGAGTGGGCATTTGATGTCCTCGGGAGCAAAGAGCAGCACGAGCTGGAGCTGGGAGCTGGTTTGGGTTTTTATCCCTTCATGGAGGCCAGATCCTCAAATCATTCCTAATTGGATTGTTCATCCCCCAACAGATAACCTTGGTCACAATTTGCGGGTAGAGATGGAAAGAGAAGTGTCCTGCAGTCCCAAAGGGTAGATTTAGGCAACGAGCGTAGTCCCAGGACACTCTGTGTGGATGGTGCATGATGGTCAGTCCTTGGGATTGACTGCATCCATCCACGTCCTGACTGCCTCGTGGGAGGAAAAGGGGGCTTGGACCTAAGAGCCGGTCGTTGTGTCCGTGCTGGCCTCTGTGCTGGTGCCTGTCTGAGAAGGCCTCGAACATCCCTGCTCTGGTTGCTCTGCCTGTAAACCATGGATGGTTCGGATTCTTGCTGCTGGGACTGAAGAACCTTTGAAGGAGGCACCTTTGAGGAGTTTCTATGGTCCCTGTGGAAGGCTCAGGTTCTGCACTGCTTTGTAAGGCTGGGGAGAGGTGACTAATTGTCATAGGGGAGAGAGGAAAGCTGGAAGGGCCCTTTTCCAGGTTTGCCTTTCCTCAAGGAATCTCCTTAGTAAGATGCTCAGTGGCAATGTAGACAAAGAAAAGATACGGTAGAAGTAAGGTGGAAGGAAAAAGGAAAGACTTAGACTGGACATTAAGGCTCAGCTGGGACAAAAGTGAGATAGAGGAGCTGGTACCCGGATTGGTATGGATAGCTGGTGTGGATTGTTGGGAATCTGGTGTGCTGGGGGTCCATGCCCCCCTTTGGAGGGATGGAAACCCCTGCAGGGTCCCATGTCCTCTTCCCAAGTGGCCAGAGGGCCCTGAGCTGATCTCATCCAAGATGGCAAGTCAAGACTGACAGCAGCAGCTCCTGCCTGGTTTGGGTGGGACACGGCCTGTTCACAGGGAGCTGGGAGGCTGGAACAGCTTCTGGTGGGCTGGATGTGAAGATGGAGCCGGGGAAATCAGCATCTGGAAGAGCACGTGGTGGGATTGTGTTTGCAGGTCCTGCGGTGAGGGAGGGCTCCCACCACGGAAGTGTTGCTGCCCGGTTGATGTGGGTGCTCAGAGCATCAGTTGCAGCCCTCAGGTGTGTGGAGGATCCCCTTTCTGCTCTTTGGGGAAGGGAGGGATGGTGCCTTCAGCACTGGGAAGGTGTCTCTGGTACAGGTGGGACCTAATGGACAGCCCATGGCAGTGCGTGGAGGGCTCCACTGCCTTGGAGCAGTTGGGCAGCTCCTTAAGTGATGGGGAACTCTGGTTGTGTGCCTGAGGCAGCATCACATGGCACTTGTAAGAGGCAGGATTGGGAATGTCAGAGGTGCCAAGGAGAGATCAGCACATGCTGCTTTGAGCCTTCCTCTGCTCTGGAGCCAGGCTGAGAGAGCTGGGCTGGGGCAGCCTGGACAAGAGAAGGCTCCTGAAGGGGAGACCTGAGAGCAGCTCCAGTGCCTGAAGGGGCTGCAGGAAAGCTGGAGAGGGGCTTGGGACAAGGGATGTAGGGACAGGCCAAGGGGAATGGCTTGAACCTGCCAGAGGGGAGACTGAGATGAGCTCTTAGGCAGAAGCTCTTCCCTGGGAGGGTGCTGAGGCGCTGGCCCAGGGTGCCCAGAGAAGCTGTGGCTGCCCCATCCCTGGCAGTGTTCAAGGCCAGGTTGGACACAGGGGCTTGGAGCAAGCTGCTCTAGTGGAAGGGGTCCCTGCCCGTGGCAGGGGTTGGAGCTGGAGGAACTTTAAGGTCCCTTCCAACCCAAACCAGGCTGGGATTCTATGACAGCATTTGGAGCTGCTTGTGTTCTATGTGGCTGGGATGAGTAGTGCCCCCACTGGTCTCCTTCCTGAACCGTGTGTTTTGAGGAACAGGATTGTTCCCACGGTGGTTTATGGGATCCCTCTCCATCCTTCCATGCTGCTTTGGAGCCCTGGCTCTGTCCATGTGCTTGGACAGCTGTGGCAAGGTGTGACAAGGACGATCCTTTGGCTTGTTGGAGCTGGTCAGTGGCTTCCACTGCTGTCCTCTCATAGCAAATGGATGACAGGAGGCATCGTGGTTGAAGAGGACTTCAGATGTGCCCTGTCAGCACAAGGAAATACATCCTGATCCCATCACCATTGACATGGCATGAAGGCACCAGCCTTGAGGACTTGGGCCACCCACCTGATGCCTCATGTGATGAATGAGGCTGGGACAGAGGTGTCATCTCAGTCCTGGAACAGGTTTGAAAGCTTTCAGAGCACATTGAGCACAAGCTGGACTTGAGAGGTGTCAGTCCCAGCCCAGGAACAGCTTGCACCATCACTGTGGGTGTCAGTCCTCCTCCTCCAGCCCATCCTACCAACACCCTCATGTCCCCATTGTAAAGAGACGCTGTGTGTGCTCACCTTGCTGAGGTTCCCCTTCTCCTGCAGCACTGTTTGGATGCCCACCACTGGGGATTATCCCTGTGCTGCTGCATCTGGTGGGAGCAGAGGCTTTGCAGCGCTCCTGGTGGATTTTACAATGGAGCTGATGCAGGGTCTGGAGCACAAGTGTGATGGGGAAGGGCTGAGGGACCTGGGGGGTTCAGTGTGGAGAAGAGAAGGCTCAGGGGGGACCTCATGGCTCCCTACAAGTGCCTGACAGGAGGATGGAGCCAGGAGGGGCTGGGCTCTGCTCCCAAGGAACAAGGGATGGGACAAGAGGAACCGGCCTCAAGCTGCCCCAGGGCAGGTTTAGATGGAGCTGAGGAACAATTCCTGCCCCAGAGGGTGCTCAGGCATTGGAACAGGCTGCCCAGGGCAGGGCTGCAGGCACCGTCCCTGCAAGTGTTCACACAGCGTGGAGACGAGGCCTCAGTGCCATGGGGCAGTGGTGGCCTTGGCAGTGCTGGGAGTGGTTGGACTGGGTGAGCTTAAAGGGCTTTTCCAGCCTGGTTGATTCCATGATTCTATTCTATGATTCATCCTGAGGTCTGTGTATTCCTTGCAGGACAGCAGCATCAGGTCACTTCTCTTTCCATCACACTGAAAAGCAAAAGGACTTCGATTAAGTCCAGAAACAATCTTCTGCGTGAAGAATGAGGCCAAAATAACTGAAGCTGTAATTCCTTCTCAGGTGACAGAGAAGGTGCCCTCAGACACAGCCTCCTCCCTCTCCCTTTTGGCTGGTGGAAGGGGACAAATTCAGTGGTGTCTTCAGGCAGGTGGAGGCCAGCTCTTGGGCTGAGGCAGTTCAGGAGCATCCCTGAAGCATCAGTGGTGACCCCAGACTCTAAGCTGAGGGCTCCTGGCCCCCAAACCCCCCCTCTGGGCAGTGGATGTAGCAGCCTCTGATGACCTGGGTTGAACTTCCCCTATGGTACCAGTGCCTGGTGGGAGTTTTGACCTACAGGACTCAGCATCGACTGAGCAGCAGAGGTGTGGGCACGGGGCTCTGTTCCCTATCTCAGCCAAACACACATGTCCTGGGGCTGCTTATCTCACCTCTGGGTGGAAATGGTGCTGGAGAGCACTGTGAGCTGCCTGCTCTGCAGGACATGGGCTCTCCTCAGAGCCGCTGAGCTGTGTGGAGCTCATTAAATGTCATAAGTGGGTCCCATCCCCATAAAAACTGTGGCTGCCCCATCCCTGGCAGTGTTCAAGGGCAGGTTGGACACAGGGGCTTGGAGCAAGCTGCTCCAGTGGAAGGGGTCCCTGCCCATAGCAGGGGTTGGAGCTGGAGGAGCTTTAAGCTCCCTTCAAGCACAAACCATCGGTCAAGAACCCCAGGGAGAGCTCAGCATTGCTCCCCATCCTGGGGAGGGGGGGTTCAACTGTCCAACCTCCTTGTTCTCCTTAGTCCTCACCCAGTGAAACCCATCAGCGCTGCGGTGCAGGAGGTCTCCAGTGAGAAGAAGCAGCAGCACAGGTCCAGCCTGACCACTGCTCTGAGCAATGGGCTGGAGAAGCTGAAGACGGTCACCACGAGCAGCGTCCAGCCTGTGGCCCCGTCCTCCCACCCAGAGAAGGCAGACACCAAGAAGGTAGGAACATCCCTCTGAGGTGAGAGCTGCGTTCCCTCCTCCTCCAGATGTTCTGTAGCTGGTGTGGGAGGAGGTAGAACTGGGTCCTGCCACCATGGGAGCAGAGCCCTGTGTGTTAACCCTGGCACCCTCAGTCCTGGTTGCCTTCCTCCATGGCCTGGTCTCTGGACCTTCTCAGCCTCTTGTTCTCCCATTGCTTGCTTTGGGTTGGGGTTTTTGTTGTACAGGGTGTGAGCCAATGCCAGGTTATCCACAGAGATGAGAGGATAGGATGGGATGGGATAAGTGCTTGGTGAAAGGCCTGAAGGCAGAGGGGAAAGTTCTTCTGGAGCCTTGCTCCTGCCTCTTGCCTGCTGCATCCCATACACTGGCATGGTGAGGCAAGGAAAACACCCATGTGAGATGTCTGAGGGCACAGTGTCAGGGGGTGCCTTCTCTTCCTTTCTTGTCCTCCTTCTCCTCCTTTCTTGTCCTCTTTCTCCTCCTTTCTTGTCCTCCTTCTCCTCCTTTCTTCTTCTCCTCCTCCTTCTCCACTGCTGCTGTTTGCCTCCCCAACCTGACCTGTAAAACACTGCTGCTGGAGCTCACCTGAGTGGAAGGACAGGTACAGCCTCTGTGCCCATAAAGCCCTTTCTGGTTCCACAGGTAGTTCATGTTACGGGTTAGGAGTATCTCACCTTATCTGGGATGAGGTCTGTCTGGGTCCCGCTCCGCTGTGCTGCTCCAGCCTGTCTGGAAACCTGGATCCCCTGGAGCTCTCATCCTCTGGGAGCTCCTGAAGGGGTTTTTCAGCTCTTAATTCTCTTTTCCTGCTGCTGGAGGACTGAGGAGAGTGGAAGCCCCAGAAAGGGGATAGCTGATGGCAGGTCTCACACCAAGGGAATGGGCTCTGTTGTGCTCCCACCTTTAGCTTGTAACTGTTGGGGGACAGGGGTTTCATTTGATTTAAGGTCCTTTCCAACCCAAACCATTCCATGATAGGATTCTATGACTCACTGAATGTTCCTCTTGGTTTCTGCCACAGGATCCCACCGTTCTGGACCAATCAGCCAAGTATTATCACTTGACCCACGATGAACTCATCGAGCTCCTGCTGCAGAAGGAGAAGGAGCTGAGCAAGAAGGAGGAGCACATCCATGAACTGGAGAACTACATTGACCAGCTGCTGGTCCGCATCATGGAACAGTCCCCAACGCTCCTCCAGATCCCACTGGGAGAAAACAAGACCAAGTAACCTCTCCCCAGAGACCAGCACTCCTCCAATAAACACGCTGCAAACATCCCTGCACTCCCCCTCCTCTTCCAAGAGGGCTCCAGTGGCTTCTGTTTGCCAAAGGTTATCTGCTCCTTCCCAGCCCAAGCTTATCCCAGCTCTGGCTCCAGGGAGCTATAGGGTGATGGGCTGTCACCCGCCCTATGGGGAGGAGCAGAGCCCTCCCCATGAGGCTGATGCCTCCTTAGGTTCCTGTTGTTGTGACCGAGCAGCATCTTCTCAGGCGCTCACCTGCCAATGCTTTAAGTGGTCCATGGGCATTTGAGAGCTGGAAACCAACCACCTTGCCCATGTCTTCCTTCTGCTGCTGCTGCTCTTCTGCCCACACTCTTCCATATCTCTTCTCTCAAGTGCTGTATGCTGGCTGATGGATGGTGTTCAACTGGTTGAACATCAGGATGCTTAAGCTCAGTTAGGCTTTACCAGCACGTAGGCAACGAGGGGAAGGAGCTACTGTTGGACACCTCTTTCCCTTCCTCTTGTACCCCAAATGAAGAGTCTCCATCTGAAGAGCTGGCTCCAGTGTGCCAACGATACGGGAGGTGCTGCTGGAGTTGGAGGCCACAAGGGACTCAAGCCAATGTCACTGCCCAACCATGAGTGGTGTTGATTCCTTTGCTGTGTGATGCCACCTCAGTTCCTCAGCTCAAAACTCTCCTGTGTCCACAGGAATCACCTTCCACCGCCTGCCCCACCACTGGCTTGGTGGTGTCTTTCTCAGTGCAGCAGGAAACACCGTTAGGACTGAAGCTTGTGTGTGGAGATGGGTGTCTGAGCACCCACCACCTCTGTGCATGACACCCTGGGAGGTCAGGCGTGCATCCAGCCCTCGCTGGCAGGTCAGTCATCACCCACCACAGAGCTCCTTCAAGCCAGTGCTGGCACCAGACACCTCGTGTTGTACCACATCCACGCTCTGGTGTCAGGTCTCTGGTGGCCTGGGCTCACCCAAAGGACTTAAATGCTTCTTGCTGCTGACTTTTGAGTGGTCATAAGGACATTGGCCTGAGGCTGGTGAGTGATGCTCCTTGCTGCACTGGAGGACAGGGCAGCTTTGGCTTGGAGATGCTGGGGAAGGGTCTAGAGAGGATGTTGCTCCTCTTGTTCTGCCAGGGCTGTGGCTGGAGAAGGTGCCCATGCAGGCAGAGGGTCAGTGGTGTGGGTCTCGAGCTGCTTGGATGTGTGAGGCTCCTTCTCCCTCCTGTACCTCTCCCAGACTTACCAGATTCCTTCAAATCCTTCATATTCTTTCCTCCTTAATTCCTTCCAGTTATACCACGCCATGGAGAACCCGTGCCTTTTGCAGTAGGACAGTAGCAGGCTCTGAGATCCCATTCTCAGCCCAACACATCCCATCTCGGGCAGCTTTCCCTCTGCTGCCAGCTCATCTGAGCGAGGTGAGTTTAAGTGCAGGCAGCAGAGCCATCTGACCCCTGTGTGTGGGTCACTTTGGCAGGAGTTCTGCAGGGACAGCAGATAGGAGGAGGTGACACTGGGGGAAGAGCAGGCCAAGCATTCCAGGACAAACTACAGCTGGATAAAGACTGTTAGGTCATGCTCAAAATCTGAGGTAGGAGAAACAGGCTGTTGGGATGAGAGCTAGCAGGAGAAAGGAGGTTTGGTGTCACTGTCATGGTCATATCTAGCTTGGAGCCCATCATACCAGGAGGAGGATGTGTTAGCTGGGAAGATACTGGCCACGAGCCTCATTCCCACCTGATTTCCTACTGGCTTTGGGCAATAGGAGGAAGCAGTCTGGGCTTTTGCACTTCCCCCATGTCTTTATGCTTCTTCTGCCCTTGTGCAGGGACTTTGCTTCTGGTTTAAGACACGAGGGTCCAAGGGAAGGTGTTTCTCCCAGTGTAGAAAGCACCAGAAACCTCTCTGCCTGTATCATCAAGAAGACCCATGGCCTGAGAACTCAAATCCCTTTCTGGGGGTTCCTCTCATGGAGAAGCTCCCCCTTTGACCTGAAAGCGAGCAGGGAGGAGCTGTGGATAGGTAGAATCCAGCCCAGCAGTGGGAGAGCAGCATGGCATGGGCAGAAGGGCTGGGAGAAGCCGCAGGGATGCTGAGCAAAGAAGGTTTATGTCAGTTGGGAATGAGGAAGGGGAAACCAGAGCTGGATTCTCACCCTAGCTCCCTGCTCCCCCCCCAAACATCTGCTTCCTGGGACTTCTGCATTGTAGGTGCTCCCCACACACAAGTGCCAATGTTGATAAGGAGCAAACCGCACCTTTTCCCCTCCTCTTCAGCACGTTCCCCTTCTGCCTTAGCTCGGCCTTTTCTCTCCTCCAAAGCTTGAATGTTTTGCACTTGAATATATAAAGTTCCTCTCAGCAGGGCTGTATTGGGCCCTATCAGCAATATCTGACACCTCCCTCCGAGCAGCACGGTCCCCAAACGTCCCCCGACTGCCTTCTGCCATTGAGGGGAGGCTAAAGCACCCTCATGGTGGCTTGGTGACAGCAGAGCATCTCCAGAGGCCACGGTGGGCTCTGCACGGGGACCTTGGCACTTGTGCTTAGGAAAAAGGTGTCTTGAAGCTGTTCTGTCTTTGTTCTCTGTTTCTCCACTCTGCTGTCCTGCAAACAGGTTTCTTCCCCCCAGCACAGGTTACTCTCTGCATACATAAGTGGCTACACACAACAGCGCTGAAGCCAGTCTGTGTGATGTCTTTGTTAAAACCTCTACGTTATCAGAGGGAAATGGTTTGAGGACCTGGATATTCCCTTGTAGAGGGGGGAGATGAGGAAAAGGAGCTCAGTGTCCCAGATCTCCGCATGTTCTTTGCAAACCCATGGAGGGAACACTCCGGCTCTGGGGCTCACTGAAGCCACGCAGGGTTTTGGTGGCCCAGCAGCAGCTTCTCCCTGGGTCCATTTCAAGCACAACCATAACATCGCTCTATGGGTTTGCCTCTGGTCTTTCTCTTTCCATGCTCAAGCTGTTCCACGAGGCCTTGGGCAGGGAGCTCTTGCTCCCAGCTCTGCTTTCGCTGCCAGCACGTAACTGGGTGTTTTCTGCTCTTAAAACACTCTGGCCAAGTGATTTCTTTATGCCTTGACTGGCCCTTCCAGCCTGGAATCAGGGGCCAGAAGAACCGCGAAGGACCATCCTTCAGCTGGAACAAACCTGAAGGGATGTGGGTGCTGAAGCAACGCGTGGACTCGGCCTTAGGCTGTGTCTGGGAAGAAACCTCCGTGTGTTCTGTGTTGTAAACGTGTGGGGTGGGAGAACACCCCAAAATGGGAGGGAGAAGCGTCGGGGCGGGGGTTGGAGTCGTTGGTTTCCCCGTACTTGATGGAGGCAGGAAGCGGGTTCCGAGTGGTTCCTGTTTTAATCGTTGCAACTGATGTTTCTAAAGAGCTTGTTCTTCTGTTTGAAGCACTTTAAAGAAAAAATAAAAAGTTGTTCAAGCTGTTCCTAGAAACTTGTGAGTTATTGACAGCAGCGTCTGTGCTGATGGCGCTTGGACGGGGAGAACATGGCAACAAGGAGGAAGCTCTTCCTTGGGAGGGTGCTGAGGCGCTGGCACAGGGTGCCCAGAGAAGCTGTGGCTGCCCCATCCCTGGCAGTGCTCAAGGCCAGGTTGGACACAGGGGCTTGGAGCAAGCTGCTCTAGTGGAAGGGGTCCCTGCCCGTGGCAGGGGTTGGAGCTGGAGGAGCTTTAAGCTCCTTTCCAACCCAAACCATTCAATGATTCATCCTCCTGCACATTGCAGTGGGTCTCCGTCCTATTCCCATCCAGCCTGCCTTGAGCACTGCCAGGGATGGAGCAGGGATGAAGAGACCTCATCCTGCATCATAGCCACGAGAGAGCGCAGCCTCAGGTGCCTGGTGAGGAAACCAGCTCCATCGGTGCCACCTCTCATGGAACAGGCACCTTGTAACTGCTCATCGAGGGCATGAAGTGTTGAGGGTTCTCACAGCACAGGGCTGATTCCCAGCCCTTCCCCTCCAGCTCCTCTGCCTTAATCCCACCTTTTCTCCTTCTCCAGGCTACAGCTTCCTTCCTTCCTGCCTTTTCCTTCAGACAAATGAACCCTTTAAGCTTCCTTAAATCACTTCACAGCTCTGACAGAAGAGTTCTGTCAGCTCTAATCCCAGGTTATTTTTCCTCCAGCTGGATCAGGAGCTCAGCACCTGTCTGGGGAGATCATGTTAACCCTGAGAGCCCAGATGGGAATGTTGGGAATGCTGCTCCATGGGATCAGTGCACTGAACTGTGATCCTCTGAGAGACTATCCAAAGAAAAGGCAGCAGGAAGGTCAGGGGTAGCATGGGCTCCCCTGCACCCTGCTCCACATGGAGTTCTGTGGGCTGCAGGGGAAGCCCTGGAGCACCTCCTGCCTCCTCCTGCACTCACCTTGTCTCTGCAGGGCTGCGCCTCTCGATGTTCTCACTCCTCTCTCCAGCTGTAGGTGCAGTTTTGTCCTTCCCCTTCTTAAATCCATTATCCCAAAGGTGCTGCCACGTTGCTGATGAGTCCATCTTGGAGCTCGTCGGCATCAGCTCCGTTGGATATGGGGAAGCTTCCAGCAGCTTCTCACAGAAGCCACCCTGTAGCCTCCTGGTACCAAACCCTTGCACCCAAACTTAGTACATCAGGTCTCCAGAGCCCCTCACTCAATGGCTGGGTGCTTGTTCCCCACCACAATGGGAAGAAACATGCTCGTCAACCAATTGTGAGGAAGCAGCTCCCCCTCCTCCTCCTTCCCCAGCCCAGGAAACAGGAGCTGTCAGTCTCCATGGATCTGGTGAGATTGACATCAGCCAAAGAATTGATATTCTTTCTGGTATTTAACCAAAAAAGTGATAGTCTTATGTCACTCCAAATGGGGTTTGAGATAAACAGATTCTCTCCCCTCTGTTGTTACCAAACATTAAGTGTGTCAACATTAGGGATTGTATCGGTTCCCTGGCTCTGCCTGGGATGGGAGGGAGGGAGATTCCCCCTGTGCGGAGACGGAGGGGTTTGGGATATCATCCTTAGGAAGTGCAGGGATTTGGCT